AAAAAAAAAAAAAAAAAAAAAAAAAGAACAGTAGAAAAAAATATTAAATTTTTAAAGTTGTGTTTAGCCCATTATTAAATTTTTAAAAATTCACACAAAAACTTAAAAAGTTAAAAAATGGGGTAAATAATTGTATCTAAGAATTAAATTATATATTTGGAGTTAGATTCCATGGTTTTAACAAATATGAAATTTGATGGGTGATGGAAGCTAAAATCTTTAACAAATCTTGAATGTAGGGACATATGAGGCGTCGGGAACGCAACATCGTCCACCTTTAAAATGGACCTAATTCCTGCACATTTTCCCGAGAAACAAACGGAAAATCACCGAGAAAAATCCATCCATTTTCTTTAATTTTCCTCCGCCGTTGTCGTTTTCACGCAACTGGTCTTTGCCTGACCTGCACCGCTCTTTCACAGACAATTGTTCATTTTTTACGAATCTGGTAAGGCCCATGTGGAACCCCTTTTGATTCTTCGGTGCCCTTACCTTTCTTTCTAATTAAATTTTGAAATCCTTGAATTTGGGGTTATGCCTGCTCCGTATTGTCGACGATTTATCGTGTCGGAGAAATCCGCCATGGAAACCGCCATTGTAGTGCCTTCTTCTACCCCATCTGGGCTTTTAGCACCGCCATTGTCATCGGGGATTTTAACACAAGACGAATTGAAGAAGATCGCTGCGTACAAGGCCGTCGAATATGTCGAATCCGGCATGGTTCTCGGCCTTGGCACCGGCTCCACCGCCAAACACGCCGTCGATCGAATCGGCGAGCTATTACGCCAAGGTAAGCTCAAGAACATCATAGGAATCCCCACTTCCAAAAAAACTCACGAACAAGCCCTCTCGTTAGGAATCCCTCTTTCAGACCTAGATTCTCACCCTGTTCTCGATCTCGCAATAGACGGCGCCGATGAGGTCGATCCCCATCTGAATCTTGTCAAGGGCCGAGGCGGCTCTCTTTTGAGAGAGAAAATGGTGGAGGGTGCTTGCAAGAAGTTCGTCGTGATTGTTGATGAATCGAAATTGGTTAAGTATTTGGGAGGCAGTGGGCTCGCCTTGCCGGTGGAGATTGTCCCCTTTTGTTGGAACTTCACCGCCGTGCGGCTGCAGAATCTCTTCGAAACCCATGGTTGTGTGGCAAAGCTCAGAACCTCCGGTGAAAATGGACAACCATTTGTTACTGATAATCGCAATTACATTGTGGACTTGTATTTCAAGGAAGATATTGGAGATTTGAACGCTGCTAGCGATGAGATTTTGCGGCTTGCCGGTGTCGTCGAGCATGGCATGTTCATCGGTATGGCCACCACATTGATCGTTGCAGGAGAGCTTGGCATTACCATCAAGAACAAGTAGCCATTACCAGGAAGGAAGCTGGAGATATCTTTAATGGCTTCTCAAATGGGTATCCTCTGTTATAACCTTTTGTTTTATGGATTCTGAAAGCATTAACGAAGTGTTCTTGGTTCCTTAGAACCAATTATTTACAGTATTAGGAATTAGGTTTGGCTGAGTTTCTGTCACTTTGAATTGGTTTTGAATCTGTAAAGGGCTTAAACCTGTTGTGTTTTTATGTTTTGAGTCACTTTCGTTAGATTCAAAATTACGAACCATTATTGGTTCGAAATCAATTAAGGTTCGTGTGAAAGCACTTTGAAAGTTTCGATATCCATTTCAACCATATTTGAATCATGTATGTGCGTTTTTATAGCCATGAAACGTGAACTCGAGTAGGGGTGAACACATGTTCGGACTTGAACTCGATGAACTCGGAGTATCATCGACATGGATGAGAATGACGATTTTCAGAGATACAACCTCCCTAAGTTTTTTCTTCGAAGGTTATATGTTATAGATGGGTAAATTTTTCAACCAATTAATAATGAAACCATTCAAACCAACATGAGCCAACATGAGCTGAGCCGAACCGATATGAGCATAGTTGAACTAATTTTATAGCACCTAAGCACGAAAATCAACCCCAATATTTTAGGAGATTTATTAAAAATATTTTAATTCGTCCAATATTTCTGTCTTTTTTTTTTTTCAACTGGTTTTCACACGAAAAAAAAAAACCGATAGACCAGAGGAATCTGCATACTTTTAAGGTGCAATTGGGCCCCAAAGTTGGGCCTGAATGATAAGCTCTGAGAACCAAGATTAGCTATGGGCCCATTTTCTTCTGTATTGAGGCCCAATGTCACTGCATCCTGGCCCATGCCCATTAAATTTATGGTGTTTTCGGCCATGGACCTTTTTCTTTTGATTATTTTTTATTAATGCCCTCCAAAATATGATAATATCAAAACAATCATTATTGTACTAGTTGATAAAAGACCATTCCAATAACTAACATCAACCTAGCTCAATTAATTTAAATATATATTATTTACCGAGAGATCAGATGGTTAAATTTTCTAATTCAAAAAAATTATCGAACTAAGTAAATAATAATAATTTTAGGGTCATATATTAATCAATCAACCAACCAACTTTAGAGCTGCATATTGAATGCAATCATAATTGGATATGTCTTTTTCCGTCCGTAAATCTAGTATTGTCTTAACGGTCGTAACATTCTTCATGTTGCATTGATGGAATTGATGAAAAACAATATCTACGTTATTAAAAAATCCCGACAGTTTAGAACCCGTTGATGACATATATGAATAAATGTATTTGTAAAGTTTTGATCAAATATTGACAAATAATCAAAAAAGGGTTCATAATTCTCCTTTATCCAACGAATTCTTTGACCTTTGCTACAAATACTTTATTTGAATATTAAAATATAATAATTAAATTATAAGATTCTCTCTCATTTCAACCAAATCATATATTTTCTCTCTAATTTTTTTAAGAGAGAAAATATATTTAATTCTAAAACGGAAATATTTGTAGCTTAAATTATAAGATAATAAAAAGGCATTGCACATCACCCAAGTCAAACCACTTTGCTTCTTTTCCTTTACTTACCCTCTAAGAAACCATTTTATTTGCCCTTTCTAATCCCCTTTTACGCTCCCACGTGGCTTGATATAGAGATGCCTACGAGACAAGAGCAGCTACCTCATTCGCCACTAGAGATGTCTACAATACAAAAGTAGCCATCTTGTTCAGGGCAGGCTCTCGCATGATACGATACAGAGATGTATATAGGATAAAAGCAAATACGAGGAGAAATCTCTCTCAACTCCCACTTTCATTCCCTACTCGATAGCCTCACGAGTTAAATGGACCTCTCTAATACGGTATAAAGATTTGAATATCTGACCTTAAATAAATGAGTACATAAACCCTAAATGAATGAGAAAGGTAAAATAATTTAGTTAGAATGAAAGGTTTATTATAAAGTGAAACGTAATGAATCAAATTAATGCAAGCTCAAATAAAGTGAGCATAAATGTTAATTAAAACAAACTAAATAAATAAAGCTAAGCTACAAAACCCTACTGCCACCCTGGCAATCAAGAAAAATAAACCCTTTAGCTTCAATTTTAAGTTTTTTTTTTTTTTTTTTTGCCCTTTTGGGTATTTAACAACATTTTGTAATTATAAAAATGAAATTCAATTTGACAATAAATAAATATATATATTTTTTAATTAATTCCTAAACTTAATTTTAATTAACCATAAAAAAGAATTTAAGGAGACATAAATTTAAGATAATTTATTCTATTATTTATAAGATGCGGTGATGGGAGTATATATCAGGTGTGACGCATGTGCTGTTGCTCCCGTGGGCCCACAATCCATGTAGTATGTGTGTGGCGACGTGTTGGTCATAGGTGGGCCCCCCGTGTACTGTCTCAGTCACGTGCCCGAACCACATCCATCCCACCACATTTTCATTTATTCCTTCTATATTAGATTTCATTTCAACTAAATTTATTTCTTTTTTTCAAATATATATATATATATATATATTTGTTTTAAATAATCATTAAAGTATAGATTTTACACGTGAATAAGATTTATTTTAAATATAATAATTAATAAAAATTATAGAAAATTAATAGATACGTAGCAAGCTTTCATTAAATTTGAGGGATTTTTTTTAAAAAATATAATTATTTTAAATGTTGTGGTTATAACAATAATAATAATAATAACACTTATTTGGATCATCATTGGTGGGGCCCACTTCATCGTACACCACACATCACGTATATCATCACCTTCTGATCCCATCCGGAACTGAATGATTGATATTTCAGTGGGCCCCACGCGGTGGCAAAAAGAAAGTGATTTATCTGATTTGGCGGGTTTATACGGTGAAAGTACTGTTCTGTTAACGTAGATCGCGTTGCAGAGGATCATTTCTCCATGTATTCTGTTTTTGACTTTTTAAGATGTTTTAATTATTTAACTGAATTAATTAATTAATAATGTATTAGTTTCCATTTTTTGACTTATCACGGAAACCGATGAAACCAAAACACCGTTCACACACAAATTCCGTTTAGCCGTCCTGAGTCCGTAACTCGTTAACTCGGAAACTCGGTTTCCCGACTCACCTGCCCGCCTCCTTTTTCCGCCATTCCTCCCAAGCCGCCATTTTGTCATTTTTTGAAGTTTATTGGTTAAATAATAATAATAATATTTATTAAAAAATATAATGATTAAAATAAAACAGAAAATAGTTTTTTTGTTAACGTAATTTATAATTATTATGAGGGTAATTTAGTAACTAATGATTAAAATTAATTAAAATAAAACAGAAAATAGTTTTTTTTTAACGTAATTTATAATTACTAGGAGGGTAATTTGGTAACTTCACAATCATAATGGGGACACGTGTCAAAATAGTGTGGAAAAAATCTTGGAAGAAAAAAGAAAAAGGAGGGAAAAGTGGAAAGGGACAAAATGGAATAAAAGAAGGAAATAAATATTTAGGGATTAGCCCATGCTTTCTTACTTAATTCAATCAGGCACCAGAAGATTCAGCATTTTATTGAATTGAACACAAAATTTTAATTAATTAAAAATTGGCATACCTGATTTTGTTTAATTAATTTTTATACCCGCCTTTTTCGTTTCCCATGATCACCGATTCACTGCCCCACCACCATGTGAGTCCCTTTCCTTCTCTCTTTTCGTTTTTTTTTTTTTTTTTTTAATTTTTATTTTTTCTTTCCACAGAGTTCTATAAATCTCCATTACTTCTCTTGAAGGAATCGTTTTATCTGATTAGAATCGGCCTTCTCTGCCCTTCGTTTTTGTCAGTTTTGAGGCCTTAATGCCTCAAGATATCGGCAAATGAGATAGTTTTGTGTATTTTGCGGTCTCTGTACCGGGATTCTTTGCCGATGAAGGGATTCCCTGCTTCGCTTTTGTTTTTGGTGGGTTTTGCTACTTTTAGTTGGGTTTTGGCTTTGCCTCATGATGTTGTGCGGGAAGATTCTGGGAATTTTATCTTAGGTTTGGACATCCTTCTCTACCGTTTCTAAATTCTTTCCGGATTCGATCGTTTATTATTTATTCATTCTCATTTGGTTGTGATTTTTTTGTTTTTTATGTGAATTTGATTGATGGATTCTGTTTCTTATTTTGATGTATATGACGGAGGGAAATGATCGCTGTTTTATGTTGTGTAATCTGTAATTCTCTTGCGTATTCTATGCGATCACATTGTGCTGAATCTTTATTCCCTGTTTTTGCTTTATCTTTTGTGTGTTCTATGGAGCATTTGTCTCAAAGTATGTTCGTTTGTTTATTAAGTTGGGGTTGGATTTGCAGGGCAAAATAACTTTGGTCCTTGGGAGAACCAGATATTGCAGACTGCTAAGGCCTCAGGATCTTCAAAAAACGATTCTCAAAGCCCTCTTCTATTGGCAGCAAATAGAACGAAGCGTCCAGATATTCGTCATGGGTTTAGGGTGTATGAAGGTGGCTGGGACATTGCCAATCCCAATTACTGGGCTGTAAGCTCTGTTATACCATAATTTATTTTACTAATTTTGTTCTTTTTTATATATATTTTGCCTTGAAATTCTGCTGTTCTAGACAATTTCTTGTGATTTGTTTGTGTATGTATGCTAGCAAGATATCATTTGCGGCGAGAAAATCTTTGGAGACTTGTGGTAGAATTTTAGTCAATACACTTTCCAGTTTACAAGACTACAGAGAGTGATTCTTTAGGAAATGAACTATCATAATCCTGGAGTTTTAGTCACGTCGATCGTACTTTAATTGTTGATGTTAGTTCTCACCTCGGTTGTAGAAGTGAACGAAGAATTCTTATAAGGGTATGGAAATCTCTCCCTAACATACGTGTTTTAAAACTGTGAAGCTGATGGTGATACGTAACGGGCCAAAGCTGACAATATCTGCTAGTGGTGGGGTTGAGCTGTTACAAATGGTATCAGAGCCCGTCATTGGGTAGTGTGCCAGTGAGGATGTTGGCCCCTAAGGGGAGTGGATTGTGAGTTCTCACATCGGTTGGAGAGGGTACCGAAACATTTCTTATAAGGGTGTGGAAACATCTTCCTAGTAGACGTGTTTTAAAACTGTGAGGCTAACAGCTTAGCGGTGAGATTGGGCGGTTATAGTTGATGTTCTGTAATTTATTGTATTGTTAACAATTTAATTAAGGATGTTCTTTTAATTATGCTGTGTGAAGCTCTTGAAAAGGTTTCACATCATGTCTGCTGCGATGGCATGTTTTAGTATAAGGTCCTTCCACTTATTGAGTCTTCCTTGGCATTTGGTATCCTTTTACGATATTCGAAACGATTAATGTTATTCAAACTGAGTACTCATTTCTGTGCATACTAATGTATCTGCAGTCGGTTGGATTTACGGGTGCCACTGGTTTCATTCTTTCCATCCTCTGGTTCATTTCCTTCGGCATTGCTCTTCTTATTCATCGTTTCTGTGGTTGGAAATTAAACCTTAAAGGCGAAGAATCAAAGACTTCACAGTGGATTTGCCTAGCATTACTTGTCGTTTTCACATGTGTCGCCAGGTAATACTTCACACTTACGCCTTGGTGATTGCTTTCATCGTGTTTATGTTACTGATTGTATTATTGCTTTCATCTTTCTATTTCACAGCATTGGGAGCATACTTCTATGTATTGGACAGAATAATTTTTATCATGAAAGTTTGGATACTTTGAAGTATGTCGTAAACCAATCGGACTACATTGTGGACACGCTTAAAAATGTTACAGAATACCTCTCACTTGCGAAGACCATTAGCGTGGCCCAGGTGTTCCTTCCATCTGATGTAATGGACGACATCGATGAGTTAAATGTGGATTTAAATACTGCTGCAGATACAGTGGCTGATAAGATGCGCATAAATTCTCATAAAATAAGAAAATATTTCGCTGCTATGTATGTCTCTTCAACTTCCTCCTTCCTTTCAATCGAGTTTATGTTCTTCTATGATGTCAAAAAGCTAACATAAATCTCGTTAGTGCAGGCGTTCGGCGTTAATTACCATTGCTGTAGTCATGCTTCTTCTGGCGTTAGTTGGTCTTTGTATGTAATTCCCAAACTCGCGAATAATGTTATAGTTTTCATGTTTACTTGACTTGTGCATACTTTTTTACTGACTGGCTAGAATTGTTGTTGCAGTCCTGTCCCTCTTTGGATATCGACATGTAGTCTATATGTAAGTTGTTCGTCGAAATAGTTATTTTACTTTTCGGTTTGATCTATATGTTTGTAGAATAACAGTATGTCGTCGTATTTTGCAGTTTAATGATCAGTGGTTGGCTACTTGTGACAATTACATTTGTTCTTTGTGGATTATTTGTAATTCTCGACAAGTAAGTTGGTTCGTTCGTTTACAGTTCGGCTACTTCGTTTCTTTGAAATTAAAAACGTAGACTGAGTTCATTATTGTCTATTTTCTTCTCTGTTTTTGTTCTTTCTCAGTTCTGTTTCTGATACATGTATGGCAATGGAAGAATGGGTGGATAATCCACAGGCAGAAACAGCTCTTAGCAACATCCTCCCATGTGTTGACCCTAAAACCACAAACCAGACACTGATCCAAAGCAAAAAGATTGTCAATGACATTGTGAGCGTCGCCAATCAGTTCATCTACAACTTCGCCAATGCAAATCCGTCCCCGGGTTCTCCCAACGACCACAACCAATCTGGACCTCCAATGCCAGCTCTCTGTTACCCATATAACTCTCAATTGGAAGAAACGAGATGCGGTGACAACGACGTGACTATTGGAAATGCATCAACTGTAAGATCCATTTTGTGTATTCTGGTTGCATTTTAACTTGGGTTCCCGACATATAGGTGATTATGGTGCCTAACTCAGCTGCTAATCATCAGTGTGTAATAACCCGTGTCTGATATGACAATGACCAGTGATTCGATTACAAATGCAGGTCTGGCAGAAGTTCGTGTGTCAAGTATCAGAACCCGGTAAGTGCACGAGCGTCGGGAGAGTGACACCAGACATCTATTCCCAAATGGTGGCAGCAGTGAACGAGAGTTATGCACTTCAGCATTACACTCCCCCTTTGCTAAGCCTCCAAAATTGCAATTTTGTAAGGGAAACGTTTCACAACATCACCACAGGTTACTGTCCTTATCTACACCAACATCTCAAGATTGTGAATATTGGACTTGCAATGACTTCAGTAGGAACATTGCTCTGTCTATTACTATGGATACTATATGCAAACCACCCCCAAATGGGGGATGTGTCTGCGAAGCTATCCTTTTCTATACAACGCCGAAGAAACGGTACCCAAAACATAAACAATCCCAGTCGAAACGACGAACTCACCACATCAAGCATCAGAGGTGCAGTTTAGAGAAGTAGAGAGAGAAAATAATAGGTAGAGCTATGTACTTATGTAAAGAGTATATAATACCCCCTTTCAAGGGGATGAAACCAAGATGGGGCAAAGCACCATTTTGTGTTCCATTATAGATATCATCACCTCTGGTACATAATCAAACAAACGTTTGATCCATTTATCTTCTACATGCCTTAGATTGAGTTGGGGCCTCAATTTTCTTGTACATTTCAACACATTAATCCATATCAAGTTTTTAAAGTTCTTCAACTCTTATAACACTATCAAGAGATCTACATTGAACCCAGTTCTTGATTATCTGAAACTTTGTAGCAAAATCAACAACTTTCATATTGCAGCTCAGATACAGAAGAAGACCAGAAATGTTCTTGAAATTTACAAGTTGTGAATGGAAGCAAAAGATTTTGTTGGCTTCAGAACTTACCAGTGATCCATTGCCATCCCATGCATTTCTGAATCTGATTCCTCTGCTGAGATTCTCTCTGCCGCAGAAAAAACATCAAGAAGGCCATGGATCACTAGCCACTCGTTCAAATACATGTTAGGGTAGAAGACTGCAACTCCATTGATCCTCAACATGCCGCTTGATTTCGCTATATAAAGTTCGTATCCCTCCGAATATGTAGATAACTCTGTGCCTTCCTCAAGATTCGCTAAATCATTCCACAAGATCCTGCACGGTAAAATCTGACGAAAATATAGAGATGGGTAATCGGTAAAGTTATCAATGCGAGTAGCCAATGCATCATCGGAAGGAGCAAAGATGGTCATCATGGATTGACCATTATTAAACCCTATAATCTGAGATTCAAGAAATAATGCCATTGAAGAATATCCATTAGACCGTAGAGTTTTTATCGCTTCACTAAACGGATTCTTAAACGTCAATGGACCACACCGAAATTTCGCACTCGGACTTGGAGTAAGCGGTGGAACTTGGAATATTAGGTTAAAAAACTTCTCGATACCGAAAACAGCAAGCGAACCGTCATCGTATAACGGCGAGTTACTAATCTTTACTCCGTTTAAAGAAACTTTAGAATCAGATCGGGAAGAGGTTACCGTAAGCGATCGACCAGCCAACATCGTAGGAATCTTGGTGCCCAACGCAAGCGATTTGAGGCTTTCAGGAGATGAGTAGAGCGGCGAGAAGTGGAATTGAAGGAGAGAGAGAGAAGGCTGACCCGATTGAACGAAAGCAGTGTCCGAAGGTGTGAAGATCGTCATTGAATTTGTCTGTGAGAGCAAAGATTCGGCTATAAGCTCAAGCGTAAGAGCCATTGAGACAAAGCCATTGTCGGACAAGATTTCGGCAGCGTTGAGAACAGTTACAGAGGGTAAAGGGGAAGAGAGAGAGAAGAGAGAAAAAAGGATGAGAGAGACGAGGAGTGGGGAAGCCATTGACGGAGACTGTCTAAGCTTCGGAATTTGTTGAACTTAGAATACGAAACAGAAGGACTTGGAACGGTTTTATTTTGGCGCGAAAGGCTCGACACGTGGCGAGTATGGATTCGCGGATGTCAATTCGTTGAAATCGGTCGTTAGAAAGTTCGTCCGGGACGAAAATACCCCTGCCTGGGTCATTTCCACTTTGGGCTCGTTTCCGGCCCAAAACGTTGCAAGCGTGACTGGCCCAAACGGCCCATTAGAAAACTATTATATATATAGAAATTTGCTAAGATTTCTTAATTATCAAAGATTATGATGAATTATACAAGGTCCCATTCCCAAAAGGATGCCTATGTTCTTGTCGAAAACAATCATAACAATCTTTTCAGTCCTACAATAAGCTAGATTACAAAAGTTTCTCGTTTTTTCTCTTCTTTTTCTCTGGAACGGTCGAGCTTAAGCGAAGATCAAGTAAAAGAAATGGCAAATTTAGCTCGATTTGTCTTCAAAAATAAGTTCATGATACAAACCTGTACGGTCACTGTGTGTTGAACCTTATGTCCGAGCTTCTCCTTGGCCTGAAAATGTAAGCAAGGAAGATGAGTTATAAGATGACACAGACAGACATTATTAATGGACTCTCTTTTGGTGTCTTCCAGTTTTAGTTTCTTTCCCTGATTATGCTTTTTTAAGTCTTTTTGAAAGAGCCAATTACCCTCTCCTAATAATCATATTTCTTTAAAGAGTATCGTTGGTGGTAATACTTCCGACTCTTCTGCTGTGAGCGCCAGTAACAAGCGAGCACTCCGAACGCACAGCTTGCTAGAGCAATCGCCAATGCAGCCCCCACCGGCACCGCGACTACATTTGTCGAAGTTGTTGACTCATCGAGAATTCCTTTGGCACCAGCATTCCCAAGGGCACTGTTGCTTTTGTATAGAGAGATGAGTGTTTTACCATAATAGTTGGTCAAGAATGTATGTACTTCATCCTCGTCCCATTCGATCTTCTGGCTGTTGCGAGAACGATAGCAGGACGCGCAAAGTTGCATTGGAGGCCAGATCATCTTTGGAAATTTTGGATCTGCGGTTCCCATGGTTTCTTCTTCTTTCGATAATCTTTCATTGACTTTGTTGTGTGTTCTCCACAACCAGAGGGCAAAGTCACGAGCTTTGTTGAAAGGACTAGACATGCTGAAAAACATAAGGTTTAGTTGAATGGAAAAGGTATTAAATCAAATATCAAATAATTACTCCAAGCTTACCTCGAACACATTTCGTAAAAGTGCTGGCGACATTCCTCGCAAACAAAGAAGGTATGGACGAAATCGCATATAGTTGTGAATGCAAACTGGCTTTCTCCGTCCTCAATTCTCACAGAAAGTGAATGCAGTAGAACCCATAAACCACAACTGCAGAAAGAGATGCAACTAATCACAGGGTGTCGAAGAAGAATTTACAGACACTATCTTGGTATTTTTCTCCAAATTTAGAAATAGTGTAATGCCCTAAGCCCACTGTTAGCGGATACTGTTCTCTTTGGGGGGCTTATCCTCGAGGTTTTTAAAAGCGTCTGCTAAGGCGAGGTTTCCACACCCTTATAAAAGGTGTTTCGTTCTCCTCTCCAACCAATGTGAGATCTCACAAATAGGAACCGAGTGTAAAAGGAATTTCTAAAGACATCCAAACTCCACACAATCGGAACAAACAATTGGGTACTATCTGGCACATCAAATTAAAGCACAAAGATAAAACTTACCTAAACCCCCTCGTATCGTTCTTGCTGCCGCGGCAGAAAATCTGCAAACATGACGTTAAAAGATAATTAGAATAATAGGTGTCATTGTGTGAGTGTATAATACAAGGGAAGAAGGGAGCAAATGATCAGGTAGCCAGTAGTTTTGTCGATTATCGGAAATTAGCAGCCACGTGCAAGTACTCAAGGGTAAGATGGTGAGTGTTGTTGTTAGGAACTATGCAGTTAGCAAAGGAATAGTGTACAGAGAGAAGAATTATTCAGGTCTCCATTATAAACTGATACGTATAATTCATATCATATCAATTCAGCAGATACCAAGTAGTAGGTCAACAAGATATGTCAAAGAAAGCAACATATAATTCCAGAAGTAGTCAGGTTAAATTTTATCATTTGTGTACCCACCCAATATCCACGAGGAACATCTTTTCCACATATCTGAAAGTTCTTAACTGCACCCGCAACCTCTTCTTGTTTCGTATTTGCAGGGCTCAACTCGTCGAAGTTTACAAGTATCTCTGCGCTACCTTTTCGACACCTAAGAAAAGTAACATTTCGACAATGAAACAGGAAAATATCACTTAAGCAAAGACAGGGCGTGTAAAGAATGTATTTTCACCTCATAGAAGGATGATGAACCACCAGAAGTTGAAGAAATTTTATAAGGGGAGCTCGAGTTTCAGACTTGATCATCTGAAAGCATGCATGAAAAAGTTACTGATCATTAATTGCTGGATATTTATATATATGGAATAAAAGAAACTAATACCTTGTGTTCCAAGATAATATCAAAGGCAGTGGATGTCGCCTCCTCAACATCATAGACTGCTCGAGCAATCTATCATCATCAGAAACATTTATATTGTTAACACCACAATGAAAATGATTTCATCTATAATATATGCAAATCAAAGTTTTATCATGATGCCTGAACCAACCTGTCCTGGATCTGATATATTGGATGACAGATGCTCATTTTCAAATTTTTTGTCATCCAAGCCAAATGAGCTGGAAAAGTCAGTTAACTGCTTATTGATTGTTCCAGCTAAGTAAAACTTGATAGTGCAAATTAGGAAGTGATCGAAGTACCTCCTACCTGCCTATTTGCTCATTTATCCAATTTAGTAACTTTTCTGCAGTCCGTCCATTATCGATATTACGTATTTCACTTTTCTCTTGCTTAGGATCCCAACTGCCAGACACAAATTTGGAAGGAGGACCCCAAAAGAGCATAGGATAGTGACCCACCGAAAATTTATCACAGAGATTGGTATTTATCTGTACTGGCAGACAAGGGAAGGACAAGGATTAGTCAACAAGATGCCTTCAGATTTACGTGTTCAAAGCTCGAACAAGGAGGGGCAGCATATATATGCCAAAGACATAACTATCTTTCTTCTTGGACCTCATGCAGCAATGGGTAAGTTGCAATGACCAAAATAAACACAAGATTCACAAAAGTGGAGCCAACATTTCGCACAAAGGATAAGCTGACACCATCCATCAAGATCTCAAATTCATGCATGCTCAAAAAGTAGTAATATGAACCATTTACTCTTGAGAATCCCAAGATGGACACTGCACAGTAATTCATATCATTATTGGTTGACACAATATAAGGGCTTTTTGATATATTTTAAAAATTGGGGCATTTGATAAGATAAGAGAATGTCACAAGCATGATATGATTACGTTTATGAAGCAGTTGTGTGATGATGACCACTGCCATTTTACATCAGGAAACTGACTAGACTTGGTGGTCAAAAGGGAAGGCTAAGACCAGTTGTCTTCTTTGGCCTTTAAGGTTGCCTGGCTGGAAAGAAACAATAGGACTTCTTTTGAAAGTTAGGGAAAGGTCTGGTGCAGTTGCTAGCATAACAATATATTGAAAAAAAAAATCTAACAGAGAAAGAACAAGGCACATCGTTTGATCTTTCGACTAAAAAGAACTCTCACAGAAAGTGTAAATGAAATGTCAAAAAATGCCCAAAACAGTAGTAGGACTT